ATTGGCAGGATCCCAGCCAGATCCAAAAAGCCAATTGGCAGGATCCCAGCCAGATCCAAAAAGCCAATTGGCAGGATCCCAGCCAGATCCAAAAATCCAATTGGCAGGATCTCAGCCAGATCCAAAAATCCAATTGGCAGAATCTCAGCTAGATCCACTGAAAAGTACCAGAGTAAATGTTGCTCAAGCTGAGGCTTCAGAGCAACCCTCACCACAAATACCAAAACATACTGTGAATTCAAAAGGAAAAGCATTTGTTCTTGCACCTGAGGAGCAGATGGAGAATCCCTTTTGGTTTAGTTTCTTTGAGCGGAGGCGGCAAAAGCATGAGCTGAGAGTAGCTCAAAATTGACTGGCAGGATCTCAGCTAGACTCAAGTATAAAGGTGGTTGATGTTGACAGTGTGGCTCAGAAAGACAAAGAGGATGCAGATGAACCTCTAGAACCCCTTGAGCAAGATGAATCTGTTCAGTTCCACCAGCAGGCCCATACTCAAAACCCCAGGACTCCTGAGAAGCTCCGGTCCCCTACAGCTCAGGAAGAGCACCCAGTACAACAGCTTGTTAGGGAGGAGGTTATGCCATCAGTGGGAAAAAAGCCTAAACATTCAACACTGCCAGATGCCACAGTTCAACCTGCAGATGTGCAGATTACCTTCACCACTCCCAGTCACCAACACACTGCAGGCCAGCCTCCAGGGAGACCTCTGGAGGAAGAGCTGTCATCTACCCAACAAGAGGTGCCAGCTCAACCTTCAGAGCTCCCAGAGTTTGGAGAACCTTCTGAAACCCATCTAGAAGCCCCAGCTCAGCCTGAAAAACCTTTTGAGGGAGTCAGACCTCCAGGTGAGCAGGAGGCTCCTGTTCAAGCTCCAGAGGCCCCCTTGGAAAGCATAGAGGCATGTCCCCCAAACCATGAGCCGACAGCTCAGTCTCCAGGAGAGGTCCAAGCTCACCATGCCAACGTCTCCTATATTACAGATAAGCCCCCAGATGTGATAGTGACCATCACTGCAATGCCTACCAAGGAGACTGAATCGCCTCTATCCCACAATGAGGCTCCAGCTGGTCCTGCAGGTTACAGAGAAGAGACAGAACCTGCTTTCAGTGAGCAGGAGCAGGCATCTCAACCTGAGTCTCTTGGGGAGACTCAGCCTTCTGTAATACAGCCTGAAGTCCCTGCTCAGGCTTCAGAGCACAATGGGGAGGTTGAATCTTCTCTAACCCAGCAGGAACAACCAGCTCAGTCTTTTGAGCATCATGAGTGGACAGTTTCACCTCCAGGCCTAAATAAATCTCAGCATTCAAACTTGGACAGTTTGACTGGTAAACCTCCAGATGTGGTGATTACCATCACACCACAGTCAACAGTTGAGTGGGGGAGTTCTCCAATCCCCAGTGAGGCTCCAGCTTATCCCTCAGTCCTAGGGAATAATATGGGACTTCCTATAACCCAGCAAGAGTCCCCATCTGGGCCACCAGAGCCTTCTCAAGTGTCCATACCTGTATCAATCCAAGAAGAGGCTCCAGCTCCAGGACCTAGTGGACATGAAAAGCCTTCCACCCAACAGGAAGCCACAGCAGAGACTACACAGACCTCTGAAGAGGTTATACCTCCAACCCAGCCTCCAGAGGGAGAAGTGCCACCTCAGCCTCCAGAGCTTCCTAATGAAATTGTTCCAGCTACAGAACTTCATGAGGTTCCACCTGCACCATTACAGAACAATACCGTTAAACCCTCAGAGATGAATGATGCTGAGATAACAACCCAACAGGAGGTCCCTGACCAGTCCTCAATGTTCTCTGAACAGTCTGGTCCCTTGGAAGACCAGAATGAGGTCACAACCCTGCAGCCAAAACCCCCTACAACTGTTGAACCATCTCCCATTTATCAAGCAATCTCTCCAGGGCTTGAAGAGCTTCCTGAGGCACGTTCTCCAAGCCAAGAAGAGAGCACAACTCTGCTCCCCAAGCCCTCTGAGAGTACTGAGCTTCCATCCAGCCAGCCAGAACTTTCAGTTCCATCACCAATACCCAGTATGGACTATACATTCCTCCACTCTCAGATAACTGGGAATTTTCACCTTTGGATCTAGAAATGATGTTCAAAAGTCATAATGAACCAACGTTGCCTAAAACCACAGTGAAACATGTGGATCTGGAGTTGACCATAACTCCACAGACTAATGAACAAGTTGCATTTTCTCCAACCCAGTATGGTGTCCCTTCCCAGCCTCCTCAAGGCCCTGAATATATTGGCTCTTCTTCAGTCCATCAAGAGACTACAACGCAGACTCCGAATTCTCACAAGCAGCAAAGTGCTTCTACAACTACTCTAATGGCTTCATCTCTGCCTGCACAACTCCCTGATAAGGTGGAACCCTTTCCAATACTTCCACTGGACATAGAACTTCCTTCAGTTCAGGATGTAGATGCAACTGAGCTTCCAGTGCTGCCTCATGAGATGGTGGTGCAACCTCCAGGGCACTATGAGACGACAGGTCCCACTCCAAATCAAGATGTAACTCAGAGTCCAGTATTGCCCAGTGTCACATCTCAACCTGTGGACCTGGAACTCACAATTACTCCTGAAATCTCTACTGCAGCCCAACATTCTAAGGACCTAAAAAAGTGGCGTAGGGTAATACTTCAACCTGTAGACATCCAACTGTCTGTAACTATACAAGCTGTAGATGAGGCCCCAAGTCAACCTATAAAGCCAACTACGGAGGTTATGGGGCAATCTGAAGAAAATCAGGGGGTGACAGTTCTCGTCACAGGTCAGAATGAAACTCAGCATTCAGCATTGCCCAATGTGATATTTCAACAATTTGACCTGGAAGTTACACTAACCCCTGACTCCACCATAGAGCATGAACATTCTTCAGCTCCAAAGAAAACAACTCCAGAACAACCTGAGGTAATCTTTCTACCTCCAGATAAGATTCAGTCTGAGCATCCCAATCTGAATGAAGTCATGGTTCCACATCATTTTGATGTAGAAATTACCTTTACTCCAGAATCAAATATGGAGGTTGGACTTTCTCCAACCATACAGGAGACCTTAACTGACCTTTCAACACCACCTAAGGATTCTACAACCCAAGCCCCATTTTCTATCACAGGTCCGACTCCAACCTGGACTCCAATGACACACAAGGTCACATCTCAACCAATGGGCCTACCCCTTTCCACAACCTCAGAACCCACTACAGAGGCTGAAAATTCTTCATCCCTGAAGAAGACCACAGCTACTACTCAAGTGACATTTCCTCTTCAAGTTCAGCATGAAATTATAACTCCACAACCTACTATTAAACTTAGTTCAGTCACATCTGAAACTATGCAGGAGACGCCACCCCAGCATCTGCAGGAGACCCCAACTCTGCATATACAGGACACCACACCTCAGCATGTGCAGGAGACCGCACCTCAGCATCTGCAGGAGACCTCACTTCAGCATCTGCAGGAGACCACACCTCAGCATCTGCAGGAGACTACACCTCAGCATCTGCAGGAGAACACACCTCAGCTTCTGCAGGAGACCTCACCTCTGCATATACAGGAGACCCCACCTCTGCATCTGTAGGAGACCCTACCTCAGCATCTGCAGGAAACCGCAACTCAGCATCTGCAGGAGACCACACTCAGCATCTGCAGGAGACCTCAATTCTGCATATACAGGAGACCACACCTCAGCATCTGCAGGAGACCACACCTCAGCATCTGCAAGCAATCCTACCTCAGTTTCTGCAGGATACACCAACTCAACCTCTGCAGGAGATTCCCACTCACCATCTTCTGGAGACCCAAATAAAAAATCGCAGGGAGACTCCAACTCAGCCTGTACAGGAGGTTCCAACTCAGCCTCTGCAGAACACCCCAACTCAGTCCCGGCAGGAGACCACAACTCGGCCCCTGCACGAGACGCCAAATAAACCTCTGTGGAAGACTGTAACTCAGCCTAAGCAGAAGACCGGAAGCATGCCTTGGCTGAAGACCCCAACTCAGCCGTGGCAGAAGGCCTCAACTCAGCCTCTGCCGACGCCCTCAAATTGGCCTAATACAATGAAAACTCAGCCTACACGTAGGCCACAGTTAGAGGCTGTGGCTAAACCTCCAACAACAGGATATCACCCAGTGTCACAATTTATAGAGACTACTACTCCAAAGCACAGTGAAGTGACACTTGGACATCCATACAGGTTGCAAACTCAGCATTCAACCTTGACTCAAGGCACAGTTAAACGATTGACTCAATTTCCAACAACCACCATCACAGAAAATGCTTTAGCTGTGCAAACGGAACAGAATGCCCCTTCAAGCATCAAGTTATGTGAGCTCTGTCACTGCCAAAACCAGACACTGTCATGTGTGGATCTCAGCCCAGGGCAGAGGCTCCGCCAAGTTCCTGTGCCAGATATGGACCCCAAGAAGCAACTTTTCACTGTCTTGCAAGTATCCCCCTACCTCCTTTGTGCTGGGCATTCTGCCTGGCATTCTTTTTCTAAAGTTTTTTGTCCTCTCTCCAATCCAGTATTGAGTAATGTTGACTTTTACTGTTTTCTTAATTTTTTAGATTGGTTGTGGGGCTTGAACTCAGGGCCTGGCCACTGTCTCTGAGCTTTTCAGCTCAAGGCAAACCCTCTACTACTTGAGCCACAATGTCACTTCCCTTTTCTGACGGTTTATTGGAGATAACAAGTCTCACATACTTTTCTGACCCAGCTGGCTTTAAACCAAGATCCTCAGATATCAGCCTCCTGAGTAGTTAGGATTGGAGGCATGTGCCTCCTGGCTTTCTTTTCTTATTTTTTAGGTTGGTTGAGGGGATTGAACTCAGGACACCTGGGTACTGTCTCTAAGCTCTTTTGCTCAAGACTAGCATTTTACAAGTTCAAGCCACAGCATCACTTCCAGTTTTCTAGTGGTTAGTGGAGATAAGAATCTCGTGTACTTTTCTGCCCGGCTGGCTTCAAACTGAGATCCTCACATTTCAGCCTCCTAAGGACTAGGATTACAGGCATGAGCCACCCGTGCCTGGCTGGCTTTTAAACTTTTCACTTCTTCATTTTCCTTGTTCTCATCTTCCTATTGTATCCACTTGCCAAGCTTTTATTTGAGGCTGCCCCTTGTCTGCTTCCATGAAGATTCCGAGTCACAGAAGTTCTGATGCAAATACAAAATTGTAGCATTCTCTAAAAAGAACAACAGAGAAAAATCACTGACTGACAAAATGTGGGCATGAGTGTACCAAACAGGACTCTATACTTTCTGTCCTGAATGAATGAACCTGACAGTGATAGAAACAGAGTAGTCAAGAAAGGAAAACCAGTTCATGAGAAAGGAGTTCAGTTTGGTCTTGCAGTTGAATGGAAAAGTCTACTAGGCAGATGAGCAGACTTAAATCTTCTCTACTTCACTACCAGACAAAGAATATATGAACTGAGCAGGAGAGTTATAGCAAAGACTAAGGATTGATTAAGGTACCTCAGTAGCTTCTAGTAAACATGTGCTTTTGCCAAGCAATGGTGGCTCACACCTGGAATTCAGCTACTGAACAAGTTCAGATCTGAGGATTATGATTCAAAGCCAGTCCCAGTTGGAAGGGTTGTGAGGCTCTTATTTCAAATTAACCAGCAACAAGCCAGAAGTGATAGAATACTATCCTTAAGCAAGAAAAGCTTAGAGACAGGACCCAGGCCCTAAGTCAAAGGCCAAACAGAATCAGAAAAATTTATTTTTCAATCAGTATTAGCCTTAGTTTTTCTTTTCTATTTTCTGTTGTTTTGGTTGACAATGGGGAGTGAACTCAGGGCCTGGGGCCTATCCCTGAGCTCTTTGCTCAAGGCTAGTGCTCTAATACTTGGAGCCAAAGAGCCACTTCTGGTTTTCTGGTGGCTACTTGGAGATAAGAATCTTTCAGGGTTTCCTTCCCAGGCTGGAATTGAATGGTAATCCTCAGGTCTCAGTCTCCCGGGTGGGGAGGATTACAGGCGTGAGCCTCCAGCCTCTGCTCACATGTGTTTTCATATGTACATTCCAGCTTCCAAAAAAATAACAGAAACCAGTTTTGCAGTACACATGCTTAATACACACACTGTAGAGAGAGGGGGGAGAGGAAGTAAGAGAGGGAGAGAGAGGGAGGGAGGGAGGGAGTGATAAAGAGAGAGAGAAGAGAGAAGGGAGAGTGAGAGGAGAATTCAATGCCAGTCTTGTCTTTACCAGCTCTTGTCTCAAAAACCAAGGGCTGATGACCAAGCTTAGTAACAGAGCCTTGTATACACAAGATTCTGTGTTCAATCCCTAGTGTGTGCCTGTGTGCATGGGCATGCACACACACATACACAATTTATAGATATATAGAGAATAAAATCTAAAAGCATACAGTTCTTCCCTATCCTGTTTATTACTCCATCTTACATGCCATACTTCCAATAAGATTAAACCTCTTACCATTTTCTTTCTGATGTATGTCTTTGGCATTTTTTTTCCTGATGAGGTAATAAAACTTAACTCTTGTCTCAATGAATCATGCTTTACCCTGTATGAAACATGTCTCTGAGCTCTTCCCTCATCAACATACTAACTCCTCTAATTTCTCTTATTCCTTACCTTTCCAAGATATACTTCCTTCTAAGGCTTCATCCTTCTTAATGGCATTTAAGCACAGCTTTGGTACTACCTGACAGAGGTTTTTATTGCTGTTTTCCAACCTGACAGGTTTTTATTGCTGTTTTCCAACAATATACATCTGTCCCTTTTTCTGTCACCATTTTCTTATTTAGAAGTCAGTTTAAACACAAATGATTCAGGAAAATTACATCCAGGGTAATTGGAACTAGACATGCACGAGATTGATTGGACAGACAGGAAATTAAAAGCTTCTGTTGAGGAGCCTCTTCTTTCCTGCAAGTGGACCCACTTTTTTACTTTGGTGTGCAAACTGTGGGAAACTCATAGCTTCAGAAAGTAGAAAAAGTTGGGTTTTTTTCCCTGCATTTGATTATGCCTCATGAGGTTGCAATGACTTTTTCTTTCTCTAATCTTTTCCTACTTATTCCTAGATATAAACTGTTTCTCCATAGAAGTTTCCAAGGAAACGGTAGTTCTTATATTGAAGAAAATATATGGGCATCGTACCGTTGGACTGAGAAACTGTGAGTATATTCTCTCCAAATATGATTACGACACTACTGTAAGACCCTCCTTGGTCCAGAATCTTGAAGGGAGTACCTCTGAGAAAAGCCATTGCCCCTCCATATCCTAATTGACCTCTCCTGACTGAAATTCTGCAATTATTTGATCATCAAGCTTATGGGTACTTGGGATATTGTTAAGGGGCAGAGTGCTTGTCTTGCATGCAGGATGAGGCCTTTCAACTATCATGCAAAATAAAGTTTCATGGACCCATTTTGAACTAAGTGTTGTGGCAAGTTGAAATCATTCTCTATTGTACAAGGGATCGATGCTTACATTCTTAGTGGATAAAACTGATGTTAATAACAGAATGAAAACTATACCTGAAACAAGAGTATAGTAGAAAGACGTTTTCCCAGGCAATTGTGCACTATTTTACTATATTTGCATATGTATTTACTGTACTTTTTACATATAGAATAGGTTTGTGGTATCATGTTCTTACTGGGATTTTACATTTTATACAAATGGTAACATAAGGAGCTGGGAAGGTGGCTCAGTGGTAGAGCACTTGTCTTGCATGCTCGAGGCCCTGGGTTCGATTCCTCAGCACCACGTAAGAAAAAGCCAGAAGTGGCGCTGTGGCTCAAGTGGTAGAGTGATAGCCTTGAGCTGAAGAGCTGAGGGTCAGCATCTAGGCCCAGAGTTCAGACCCCACGACCAGACCCCTCCCCCAAAATGGTAACATACTGTAAGTTGATTTTTACATTTCATAACATAAGCTTTTAATCTTAACTTTACATAGATGATTAACCTATTTCTTTAATTATTTGCAAAACATTCCATAGTTTGGATGCCTTGTGCTGTATTTCCTATTTCCCATAATATTTAGAGAATTCCCAGTTAGCTTGTTGCATTCAAGGCTACAATGAACACCCCCATACATACTTCCTTGTGCACCTAGACAAATCATTCAGCAGAATAATCTAGAAGCAGGATTTTATTATGAACACTATGGTACACATGAAATGTTAATTGTCTTTAAAAAAGTTGTGGCACCATACACTCTAGGCAACAGAAAATGACAGCCTTTCTTTTCCCATAATGTATCTCTCTATTCAGTATGTTTCCCAATGCTGGATGAATTTATTTCCAGAAATAACCTTTTTATCTTCCAGAATTCTCAGCAAAAATCGCCTTACTGAATTACATAAGGATTCATTTGAAGGACTCCTATCCCTTGAATATTTGTAAGTTAGTATGTTTATTTGTAATTATGTATAAATCATTCATATTAATTACTGAAATCTCTTCCAGCAATCAATTCTGCAGCTATATAAGAATGTGTCTATCTCACCTCATCTCTAGCAATAAGTACTTACTATTCATTATCAGATTAGTTATACAGATAACATACAGATAAGGAAAAAACTGTCCTTACTGAGAAAAAAATGTTACTAAGACCTCAGCCTGAACTCTGGGCCTGGGCGCTGTCCCTCAGCTGGCTTTTTTTCGTTTTGCTTATGTGGTGCTGAGGAATTGAACCCAGGGCCTCATGCATTCAAGGCAAGAGCTTCTACCACTGAGCCACCTTCCTAGCCCACCTCAGCAATTCTTGATATTCATAAAAATGTTTTCTTTTTTTTTGGTCTGTCCTGGGGCTTGAACGCTAGGCCTGGGTGCTGTCCCTCAGCTCTTCAGCTCAAGGCGAGCGCTCTACCACTTGAGCTACAGCGCCACTTCCGGTTTTCTG